TAGGCCCATTTATATTCCGGAGACTTTGAACTTGAAACATTCATTTTCCTTGGAGAGCAGCCTCAGGAGCTCTTGCCACGTGTCCTGTGTGTGGACGTCCCTGTTCAGAGCCTGTTAGTGTAGTGTGGTGCCTTGGGAGCACTGTGTACAAGTAGACATTTTCTATTTTACTCTGCCTATGATGGAGGAGGTGGGTCACTGTGTCTCTGCGGGCTGTGAGGAAAAGCTGATACTGAGATGGGGTTCATTGGAAAGCTAACCTGGACTGATACTTCGCTTCTGCTTGAGGAGTCCTGGCACACAGAAACAAGTGTTCTCTCCGAGTTGGCCTCTTTTCCTGTAAGAAGATGCTGGTTAATCAGTAGAAGTAGGATGAAAGCCAGAGCACCCTTTAGAAATGGAAGGCAGATTTTTTTTCCTGGCAGTAATTTGCAGATGAGCCAGTACCACAGGGCTTTTTTGTTTCATTTTGCCTTTGGATCAGTTGGCCATCCAAATCATAAATAGGAAACAGTCCCTTGGTATAACCCGTTGGTCTTTTTGTTCAATTAATAGTTGTGATGAGCTGCATTTGGCAGTCTTTCCGTGACTTCCTGAGAGGCAAGATGAGATTATTTCTGAAGAATAGACTTAGAATAACTTTCTGTCCTTTAAAGTCAAAATTTAAAACTCTCCTTTGTGCAGAAAAATTCTTCTTGAGGATCTGATGTCTTCTAATACCAGAGTCTCCCAGAAGTAGCTGAATTCATGGATATTTTTCTTATAAAACAATTTTATTCATTTTTAAAAAGTATTATGTGCTTTTATCATACCTGCTGACATACTTGTTGAGCTGCTGGGGTGCTGGAGTTCCTGATGGCGCTCAGTGTGCACCTTGCTGGATAGGAGCTGCCATGTTCATCCTTGAGCCCCGGTGTGAGACAGTATCCCTTGACTGTCCAGATGTGATTGTGCAAACTCTGCTCTCCCTTCGCCTCCGTACTAGGTTACAACATCTAATATGTTGTGTTGTTATTCTCTGGGTTAATGAGCATGCTGGTGTTAACTTGGCATTCAGGATTCCTCACAGATTGGCTCTAAGCTCCTCTTTAACCACATCTCCTACTTTTAAACCACACAAGCACAGGTCTCCAGACAGTTGGTTCTTTATCAGCCTCTAAGCCAGATGTAGAGTTGAGCAAAGGGTTTGTTGGGGGCAGAGTGACTGAGATTACTCAGACATGCTCAAGCTGTGTTTGCAGACCTGGCTGAACATTAGGGGGACCTTAAAACTCGTGAGGCTCTGGACATACCCCAAACTGATTAACTCGCTTGGGGATGGGACCCAGGTGGTTCCATTGAGTGGCAGAGGCTGAGTCAGTCGCGTGCTGGAGGCCTCTGTCCTCGCCGCAGAGAATGAAGTGCTATTGTCTGTCTTCTCCGATCTCTGTGCATTTTCATAACTTAAATTGCATCAGTTATCTGGTTGATACCAAATAGTGACATATACACTTGTTTTCTCTGTACTCTCTTAAATATTAGAGATATTGTTATAGTAAGCCAGGGACCTCCCTTAAAGATATATACGTTTATGTGCAAATGTTTCTGGGACTTTTTCCTAACAATATTTCTTGTGTAAATAGAGGTTTTTCTTTTTGTTTTGTTTTACATTTAGATCCTTTTCCTTCCAACACTGTAGATTTAAACTATTTTAGGCTGTGGATTTCTTTGAAAATCTGATGCAAGTTATAGGCCATCTTCCCAGAAAAATGCTTATACAAACATAGGCTCCATCTTACATACAGTCAGAGCGTACTCTAGTCCCTCTTCTGTCCGTGAACCTGGGGACAGCTCTATTTTGTGTTTATTCTTGGCTGACAGGTGGACATGTTAATTAGTCTGGTTTTATCATTTCACAATGTATACATGTATCAAAACATCACATTGCAACCCATAAATACACACATTTATTATTTGTCAATTAAAAATAAGACTACAAAAAGGAACCCTCTTCCCCAAAAGGTAGTGAGAGATTTTTAAACAGAGTGAGAAGGAAGTATGAGTGAAGTCTTCCACTCATACAAGAGGAGACGAGGACAGAGGACAAAGGACAAATAGAGGGCACCTGAGTTTCACCCCTCCCATATCCTGTTCTGGGCAAGGTCTTGGTGAACTGCTGGACAAAGCAGGCTGCGGTAATAGCTCAAATGGCCACTAGATGTCCCCACAACACCAGTTAGTTTTCTGGCTTTGGGCACTACTGTGCCTGAGCCCAGATCAGCAGAAAGCTGTGGGTGACTTCCAGTCAAGGACCTAAGGCTGCCAAATGCCTGCAGGATTTACCTCACAGTTTATTTTTTGATACAAAGAAGAACAAGGGTGGATAAAGGTACATTCATTATAAATAAATGGAAAGGCGTAGAAAGGTGAACAAGGTAGGTCAAGGGAGCAGCGAGCCCTGACTAGTGTTTCCCTCTCTCCTGGAGTGAGACTGTCTTGGAAAGAGTTTTCCTGTCTCTGGGAGAAGGGGTGTTGGCTGAATGGACATTTTAGGCCTTGAAAACAGCAAGTTTTAATATTTTCGTGTAACTCACTTTACTGATGTTCCACCATCCATTTCAAACCTACAATGACTATCCTTTAAATAAAAATGTGAGTGGTGTACTATTATTCAACATTAGAGCATTTTTCTTTATTGCTATTTTTTTTTTTTTATGTTCTTGCAGTTCATCCAGGTCTGTCACCACAGCAGGCAACAGCTCAGTTTGTTTTATGGCCACACATTGTACCCCTGGCTTCAGTCAATCTTTTATAAATGCACATATTTTGGCAAGAAGGTCTGTGTCATAAACCTGTCCTCCTTGGCTTAAAAACAATTTGTGTCAGTGTATTCTTCAACATTAAAAAATATAGTAGCCTTGCATTTTTTTTATTAAAAAATGAATATGGAGTCTCAGTGTGTGATACATCTTGTACCCTCAATGAATCCCCAATTAAAAAAAATAAAAAATGAATATAATGGATAAATTCTTTAGGGTAGTACAATTACACCGATAAATCAAAAGACTTAGATAGAAATAGAAGTCAACTAATTCTGTTTTGGAGTATTGACAACTGAATGTAAAATTAGTTAGTTCATTTCTTTCTTTCTTTCTTTTTTTTTTCCCTAGGCTTTAAAAAGTATCTTTGGAATTAAGTAAGCTTGTCAGGAAGTGAGCCTTGTCCACTTGTTCCAAATGTTATGAACGTTCTGTGAGTGAACATGGCACTGTTGACACAACCTAAATCCCTAGGGAGGAAATGACTTGGTGTGTTTAATATAGGTTTCCTGCTAAGCCTCAACCCAGGGAAGTCCTTTTGGTTTTGGGAAATGAGCAGCAGTTCTGAGTTGTAAAAAGGACAGAAAACAAAGAGGGAAAGTGAGACTCTTTAAGTCTTAGAATTCCTATGGGGACTAGAATGCCATCCTTCATGGGAAATATTCTTTTAGAAATGCTTCCACGTGGCAGCTAGGGAAATAAGACTTGCGTGATACTTGCTGGGTGGACTGGGCCACAGGGCCTACTTCTTTTTTTTTTAAATTTCAGATTAATATGAGAGTACTAACAATTTGGTTATGGTGTTTGCACTTGTCAGGTAAGGTCCCTGTTGTAGTTGTGTCCCACACCTAGGAGGTGTGCTGTGTACCCTGACATTGTGCCTGCCCACCAGGTGGGAGCACACCCATCTCCCTCTCTTCACCTCTCCCCGCAACTTGAATTACATTGAGTTGTTCTTGGGTGGGTGTGTACTAGTGCGTCCACTGAGGGCCTGCTTCTTAAGATTGCTGATGTTTTTGTCTCTTGCAGGTGCACAGCTTTAAGGGCTACTGGGAAAAACTGAACTCCAACCTAGAATACGTTAAGTACACCAAGCCACATTTACACTATAACAACAGTGTGGTCAGGAGAGAATGGCACAACCTGATCTCTGAAGAGGTGTGTGTGGGTCAGTGAGAAGAGGGCAAGCAACCAACGCGTGCTGGCTGGGTGTCCGCAGCGCCCTTCCCAATGGCTGGGCACCTTTTCACTGATGTCTGCAGACAGGGGTGCTTCTATGATTGGTTCTCCTGAGGAGGAAACCGGGGTGCAGAGAGCTTAAGGGATGCACAGTACATTCAGAGTAGGATAATTAATATCTGTGTTCTTGGGTTACATGTATAGTTAAAAATCTATTTATGAAAAAATCTAGGTGCTCCCAGATGGGGGGTCCTAGGGGTTGGGATCGCTGCAGGGAGGAGACTGGACGTGATTGACTATATGTGCACGGCACAAGGGAGACCTCTGGGGTGATGGAGCAGTTCTGTCTTAATTGTGGTGGAGCATGGGATGAAATGACATGCAACTGCATACACATTGCGCCAATGTTACTTTCCTGGTCTTGATACTGTATTATCATTACCTGAGAGATGAGGATTGGGGTAGACTGCGTGGAGAGTACATAAGATCTCTGTAGAATTGTTGCGCATAGTTGGGTGTTGTGATAGCTTCTTATGAATCTGTAATTGTTTCAGATAAAATGTTTCTTACAAAAATTTTTAAAATCTAAGTGTTCCGATTACCTGGAAAGTATATTTCTTCTTTGTGAAGCTCTTACCTATATTGCGTTACATCCCTGATGTGAAAAAGTCATCCACAAAACCCTCACCTTCCATCCTCCTGACATGTTCTCACTCTTAGAAAACAGGAAAAAGAAGATCCACGGCATATGTGAGGAATATTCTTGATAATGCAATAAAGTAAGTAAAATCCGAGGTTACTGTATCTATAGGATAGGTAACTTTACAGTTTCCTTGTTGGCTACCTTTCGTGGAAGTAGCTTGCTTTTGTTGGATGTCCTCAGCACAATGATACTGTCAGCTTCATGAAGGCGGGCACGGGGGCCCTATCCTGGCGTGTGATGCTAGAAATTCCAGAGGGAACATCCTATATGTCAACCCTATAGACTTGCAACCTGGGGGTGGATGATTTACAATGTACAGGCAGTAAAGAAAGTTCTTTAGTAAGTGAGCACCTTAGGGGAGAAGGCCAGATGCTAGGCTGATTAAAGAAAAATTTTAGTGGATTGGGGAGCTTGCTCTTATTTTGAAAGCCTATTATCTGGAGAGATGAGTCATCTTGGATTGCTAAAAGTATAGGCCCCATTCCAACCTCTGCTCTATTTTCTGTCCCCATTATTCCCAATAACTGAGAGTTGCAATTGTTCTAAATCATTGCCATTGTTGGCACTAAAGGGTTTGGGATTTTATAATTGCCTAATGTGGTTTTCACGACATTGGCTAAAGTTTTTGAGGTTTTCCGCAGCTGAGAACAGTTTCTACGGTGGTTTTTTATGGGTTTTTAAAGGAGGATATTTTTGTATGGTGTGGTGGCTTTAATTTTCTCTAAATAATACTGTGTGAGTAACAGGGTTCATTTCTTCGTAGGGTGATTTCTAACTTAGAAACGAGGAATTCGGGTAAGAAAAAACCTCTAATAAAGCCTCTGGTGTTTTCTTTGCACTGCTGTTCTTCCTTCCACAGGGGGGAGGCAGGAAAATCACTTCTGGTCGTGTGATGGAGGCAGGTCCATTTAATTCTTCCCGTTAGAGGGGCCACCCAGCTTTTTACATGTCTGTCTTGGCATTAGAAATGGCAGGGACAGCTGCTGAATGTGCTTTTGCTGTAGGAGGCCCTGGGTGTTGGTCCTCTGGTTTCCATTATTCATCATCGTATAGTTGATCTCACTAACTAACGTGCCTCTGCGGTACCCAGAGGATGTACTTTGCCAATTCCCTCTGCTTGGTGCTGCTTTGTCTCCAGCTGTCCGCCTCATGTACCTGTCAATTCGGTTAAAACTTGGGTGCACACTGGGCTAGGTGCTAGGGGTGCAAGGTGAGGAGCCTCCAGGTAAGCAGTAAGCAGTGTGGTGCTTTGGGAAGAGCATGGACTCAGGAGCCAGGACGTAAATTCCAGGGCTGCCTCGTGTTAACTGAGCTCCCAGGCAAGTCAGTTAGCCATTTCGTGTATTGACCTTCTCAGAGGCAGGGACGGAGAGCATGAGAGCAAATGAGGTGAAACAGTAGAGCACCTAGCACAGCGCTAGCACACGTGGCAGATGTGGCGGCTGCTTTCTCCCTGGTGTGTGCGGGAGAGACACTAGCGCACTGTTTCTAATACCAGCCACAGGTATTATGGTGTTTCCCCCAAAATAAGACCTATCCCAAAAATAAGCCCTAGGAGGATTTCTATGCATTGGTTAAATATAAGCCCTGCTCCGATAATAAGACCTAGTGATAATAAGACCTAGAACATGCATTTCAGCACAGAGAGAAGACATCCCCTGAAAATAAGCCCTAGTGTGTCTTCTTGAGAAAAATAAATATAAGACAGTGTCTTATTTTTGGAGAAACAGGGTAGGTCTGCCCTGGTACAGGAGGTGAGGGGCTAGGTCAGGAGTGGGGATGGTTGGGGGAGGGAGCAAGGCTGGAAGAGGCTTCCCAGAAGGGGTGACATCTGTGTTAAGTCTTAACAAACAAGAGGGACTTAGCCAAGTGGAAGGGGGGCAGGGAAATGCTGAGTACATTCAGTACAAGCATTTTTGTGGTGAGCATGGGAACATTTTCATACCTGATAAAGCTCAGCCGACAGGCAACACACTGCTGTTTGACACCCTACTCCCACTTTATGGGCTTGGATGTTTTAGGTACATGTTGAGTGACCCTAACGGAAATTATTTCATACAGTATGTCCCTGGCTGTGCACGCAGCCCAGTGAACTGTGACCTTGTCATCCAGCCCTGGTGGACAGAGCCTGAGCTCACTGGAAACCCGGGAGGGACCTGCCTGTGTTGCCAGCCCATCTATGCCTGAAGCCAGGGTCTGTCCCCCTTCTCTCATTGGCAGAGGTTCTGCCCTATGGGGCCTGTTGCTGGTCTGGGCACCATTTGCCACGCTGTCCCCTCCAGTGGAGCAGGGGTTCTTAGTTAGTGGTGAGTTTTTGTGTTGAAGAATAATCAAAGCAAGAGCCTAGTGGTACTGGGGAGTTCTCCTGCTTTCTTGTCTTTCCCTCTGTCTGTTCTGCAGAGCTGTCTGCAAACCACCTGAGGGACAGGTTCGGCCTCTGGGACTAGCTGTACTCGGCTAATGAAAACTATTCACCCGGTCAGGGAAGTGTTATGTTTTCCCATTGACTCAGGGAGACGAAACCCAGACTGATTCCCCTTTCTTCTAACCCATTTCATGAAAACAATGCAGAGTTTGACTGTTGCTCTATTTCATTTCAGAGCCAAGATTAACACCCCTCTTGCAGGAGGAAGATAACCACCAGAGGCTGCTGATAGGGCTGGTGAGTGGTTTGTGGGCTCTTAAGCTGGCAACAAACAATGGGCCCAAGAGGAGGGGAGAGGGTAGACTGTACTTCCTACTTCCCACCATGACCTTGCTCCTACTTATTCTTTCAACAAATAGTTGTTGCCAGTCACTGTAGGCTGCACCTGTCCAGTGTAAGCAACACATACATGACTTCCACCCTCTTGGAATGTGTCATTGAGCATGGGAGACACACACTCTTCAGTCACACCAATAAAATATAGTTACAGACCTGATAAGAAACGTATCATGGTGAGAGTTTTAAAAAGGAAAGGGCAGTGGCTTTGTGGCATTTGTATTTGGGGTTTAAAGTACAACAGAATAAAGAACTCTTTCTCAAGAAGTCCTGTTACTAGGATTATCAAAGAACTATAAAGGAAAATAAATTAAAGGGCAGAATTTGTAAATCCAAAATATCTTATATATTGTTAAAACTTTGTGGACTTAAGAATGGAATAATCTGTTACTTTAGGTAACTGTAAAATAGCAAGTTTAAAAAATAAGAGGAATATGTATAAATTCATATTACACAATTAAAAAGTCTAGTTAAACAAATAGTTTTCCTGGCAAATAGATATTTCCAAAGTTGATCTAAGAAGAAACATGTAGGAAAGGTTAAAATTACAATAACTATAAAATAATTTGAAAAAGTGTCAAAGATTATCTCCAAAGATGGCCCCATGTTATTTAATGAGTTAGTTTCTTCAAACTTAGGGTTCAGATCATTCCCATGCTGTATAAAGTATTCTTTGAAACAGGATAGAAAGCTCAATCAGCTCGGCGCCTGTAGTACAGTGGTTATTGCACCAGCCACATACACCGAGGGTGGTGGGTTCGAACCTGGCCCAGGCCAGCTATAGGGCAACAGTAACAACTGCAGCAAGAAATATCCAGGCATTGTGGTGGGCACCTGTAGACCCAGCTACCTGGGAGGCTGAGGCAAGAGAATCACTTGAGCCCAAGAGTTTGAGGTTGCTATGAGCTATGATACTACAGTACTCTACTGAGGTTGCCCTCAAAAATGAGACTCTGTCTCAAAAAAGGAAAAAAAAAAAA